TTAGGGGCTTCCCAGGTGGTTCAGAGGTAATGAGTCTGCCTGCCAATGCAGGAGACATGGGCTCAATCCCTGGGTCTGGAAAATCCCCTGGCAAAGGAAATGGCAACCCTCTCCAGTATTCTTCCTGGGAAATCCCATAGAGAGTGGAGCCTGGCCAACTACAGTCCATGGGATTGCAAAGAATTGGACACGACTTAGCGACCCAACAACTAGAGACTCTCTTATACCTATATGATATTCTTTTTATGACATGGTGGTGTTGTTCAGTCACTCAATCATGTCCAGCTCTTGGTGACCCCAGGGACAGCAGTATGCCAGGCTCCCTGTCCTTCACCATCTCCTGGAGCTTGCTCAAACTCATGTCCATTGAGTCAGTGATGTCATCCAATCATTTCATCCTTGGTCGTCCTCTTCTCCTCCTGCCTTCAGTCTTTCCCAGCATCAGGGTCTTTTCTAATGAGTCAGCTCTTCACATCAGGTGGCCAAAGTATTGGATCTTCAGCATCAGTTCTTCCAATGAATATTCAGGATTGATTTCCTTTAGAATTGACTGGTTGGATCTCCTTGCAGTCCAGGAGACTCTCAAGAGTCTTCTTCAACACCACAGTTCAAAAGCATCAATTCTTCAGCACTCAGCCTTCTTTATGATCCAACTCTCACATCCCTACATGGCTACTGGAAAAACCATAGCTTTGGTGTAGGTGGACCTTTGTTGGCAAAGTGATGTCTCTGCTTTTTAATATTCTTTTTATGACATGTGAAGAAGCTAATATATATAAATATAACCTTAGCAATCTTTTTCTTATGCTTTAATGCTAGGTATGCATAAAGAAAATGATATAAAAGACATAGAAGCTAGTGCTAGTGCTAAGTCGCTTCAGTCTTGTCAGACTCTTTGTGAGTCTATGGACCATAGTCTGCTAGGCTCCTCTGTCAATGGAATTCTCCAGGCAAGAATACTGGAGTGAGTTGCCATTTCCTTCTCCAGGGGATCTTCTCAACCCAGGGACTGAACCTGCATCTTAACGTCTCCTGCATTGGCAGGCGGGTTCTTTACCACTAAAGCCACGTGGAAATCCCCATGGAGGCTAAAGAAGAGATTTTTCACTGAAAGGCCTGCTTCCCTCATAACCCATCTCAGCTCCTCTTCTCCTGGATGGCACCATGTTCCTGATTTTGTTAATATTGTTTGCTTTTCTTGTATAGTCTTTCATTTGTGAACCTAGATATAGAATTTTGGAATAAGGAGGTATGGATATCTTCAACTTCATTAGAAAGTGTTGAGCATTTTCCATAGTGATTGTACCAATTTGCATTCCTACCACAAGGGCCTGAGGGTTTCCGTTGCCCCACATCTTCACCAGCAGTCAGTTCTGTCTAACTTTCTTCCTGATTGGTAAGTGAGAATAGGCACATGTAATGTATCTGTTACTTGCGTGTCCTCTTTCAGAGTGCCTATTGACGCATTTAGCTATTTTTCATTTTCTGTAGTTTTTTAAGGAACTATTCATACGTATATTTATACTAGATCTCTGATTATGGGTTCCAATTATATTCTTCTACTCTATTGCTTGTCTATTCTCTTGCTTTATAGTATATTGATGAAAAGTTCTCAATTTTAATATAGTTGAATTTGTTACTTTTATACTTTAATGCTTTTTTGAATCTTAAGTTCTTTCCTATCCTGAAGTTACAAAAATATGACTGTATGTTGCTTATAAGGTACTTAGTTTTGTACAGTGTAACTCTTTATCAGTTTGGAATGACTATTCCATGGTATAAAGTTGGGATCCAGCTTCATGTTTTTTTCATGAGACTATCCACTTTTCCCAACCAGTAATTATTGAAAAGACTGCTCTTTATTATAAAGAAAGATCATTTGTGCTGCTTCTGTCATACCAACTAACCATACGTTTATGTTGTATTTCTAGTCTCCTAGTCTATTAGTTCCTCTTTTAGTACCACACCACCATAATTGGGTTGTGATAGGAAAAAGTAATTCTTGTTACATAGTAAGGCATGTTGTCTTACCTTTATATTTTTGTGAAGTTTCTTGGGTTTTTGCATGTTCATGCTTCAATATACATTTCAGGATGAGCTCCTTAAGTTTGAACAAAACCAAAACCCTGAGAAATGTTGAATGGGATTGCATTGAATTGTTAGACCAATTTGGGAAGATCCATCTTTACACTATGGAGTCATCCAAAACATGACTTGCTTACTTTCTATGTCTTTCTGGGTAATATATTTAAATACAGTGTTTCTATTTTCTCATATGAAGTCTTGCATTTTTTGGTTAGGTTCTTTTTAAGTACTTTATATTTTTAGAGGTACTTGTAAATGTCAAGTTTTTTTCTTTAAACTGTTGGTGATACCAATATTTTTGTATTCTGATTTTACATCCATCAATTCTACTAAACTCATGTATTAATTCTAATGTTTTACCTGTAGAATCTTTTGGATTTTTCTAAATGCACATAGTGAATAATGAGTTTATGTTTCCCTTTAATATATGTATATGTGTGTGTATGTGTGTGTGTGTGCACGTGTGTTTTTCTTTTTTTCTTGTCCTACTGCTTCTGCTGGTACCCTTAGGAAAACAATGAATAGAAGTGGTAGTAACAAGTATTCTTGTGCTACGGTAAATCTCCTAGGGAAAGCATTCAGAAGTTAAATATTTGTAAGTTTTAAAGAATTTTAATGTACTATAGAGTTAATTTTTTTCTTTTTAGTATAAGAATTCTGATTCTGAGTTTTAACCTGTTGTGTAGATTCATGTAACCACCACCATAATCACGATCGAGAAGTTACCCTCAAAATTCCTTTGTATGCTGCTCCATTGTAGTCAGACATTCCCCTGTGCCTAACTTGTGGCCACTGCTGCTCTGATCTGTTCTTCATCTGCGTGGTTTTGCCTCTTCCAGAATGTTATATGAAATTAAACAACAGTTAACCTCTGAGGCTGACTTCCTTCACTCTGCATAATGCCTTTGATATTTGTCTTTGTTGATGTGTTGTTATAATTGTTGAGTAGTATTGAATTCTATGGACATGCCACGGTTTATGTATACATTAACCAGATGAATTATGTACATTTTTTACCTATGCAACTTATTTTGCTTCTTTGGATAATGGGGATAATGCACCTACATCATAGGGTTATTGTGGGGATGAAATGAGTTAATCGCTATGACATACTTAGGTGATTCCTGACATATAGTACGTGCTCAATAAATATAATCCATTATTATTGTCCACGTTATTAATAAAGATTTTGAAGTAGAAAAGAGCTTGACAAGTTCAAGGAATAGTAAGAGAGCCGGCGTGCCTGGTGTGTAATGAGAGGGGAAGGTGGCATGTAGAAGGTATGTAGGGGCAGAGTCAGACCTGATGGGCTACAGCGTGGAGTTTTTATTTTAGTCCAAATACAGTGGGAAGCACAGGGCTGAGACATGATCTGGTTTATGACTTTAGTAGATCATCTAGGCTGTGGTGAGGAGAATGAGTTATAGCGGTGGTGGGAGTGAAAGCAGATTACCATGGTAGTCCAGGGAAAAGATGGTGGGGGCTTAGACCATAGTGGTGCTCATGGGGTTGGTGAGAAGTGGTTTGATTGAAGGTAGGGTTTGGAGGTCGAACCCACAGAACTTGCCGAGGGATCGTGGTTCAGTGGAACACATTCCCCATCAGAGTAGTGATGTAGCTAGTGGCTAGTCTTAATTATCAACAGCAATGCTGTTTTCTCTTACGGCTTTGCTGAAGACTTTTGTCATCCATTAAAAAAATATATATTGGAATATAGTTGATTTACAGTGTTGTTAGTTTCTGCTGTACACCAAAGTGAATCAGTTATACATATGCACATATATCGACTCTTTTTTAGATTCTTTTCCCTTACCAGTCATTAGAGTATTGAGAAGAGTTCCCTGTACTATACAGTAGGTTCTTATTAGTTACAGTAGGTTCTTAGTAGTAGTTATAGTACAGGTTGCCTGTACTATACAGTAGGTTCCTATTTTATGTATAGTGGTGTGTCATCTACTTTTGAATTGAAACTTAAACTTTCTTGCTTGATTTCTGGGATCCACCTGAAGAAATAGCCTGCCTTTTCATACACTTTTAAATGACATCTGATTTCTTTCTTATAATCACAGTCCCAAACACATTTGCAAAAAAATAAAAATGGAAACTTATCCCACAACAGTGTTTTCTCTGAGTGGTTCTCTATAGCCTGTATAGTGCTGTGACCCCTTATTCTAAGTCATCCTGCTGGAAGGAAATTTGATTCGTCAGTGGGATGGTAGTTTTAGTGGTTGGCAGGAGTTCCTGTGTACACTTGGGACTGACTGTTGGAATAAACATTATTAAACTCAGACTAAAATTGGACCAGAAATTTATTTTCATCCTCCTTTCAACCTCAACTCACCCTCGAGTCTCTCATCCACATGACAAATGGTCTTGACTTTTTGAAGTGATCTTAAAGATTAAAGTCAGCCCTGGGTGCTGGCTTATTAGTCTTGCATTCAAATGGAGATTTTTTTTTTTTTGGGAAACGGTTAAAAATAGAGTTCTCTGATCTCACATGAAGACATTTTCTTTTATTTCCTGTGTGTCTCCTCTTAACATGACTATATTTGTTCTCTGTGGGTCTTTAGCTTCCAACTCCTTCTTAAGACAAACACCTGATCAGTCTTTGTCTGGAATACTCATTATGTCCTTTAAAGAAAAACCAAACAAACAACTCTATCCTATCTGCTTAATTTCAGACATTTTATATTTCAGGATTTGCTAAATCGGGGGGTAAATCTCCCTTCTAGATTGAGTTTCTAGTTGCATTTTGCCCTAGTTTTTATCATCTCTTGTCAGGTTAATGTCAAACTATGGTATTTATTCACTCAGTTGGCTGGTAGGAGGGCTTATGGAATCTTAGAGCTTACTCATTAGAATTCTGTGCATAATTTTGTGCTTCTTTGTAATTGGCTTCTTTTGTGATCTTACAGAATACCAAGCTGCTATTTTACACTTGAAGAGGGAGCATAAAGAAGAAATTGAAAACCTACAGGTATATTTCTTTGATTCTACTGAACTGGTTATTTGAGACTGATGCTTGGTTTTCTCCTGTGTTGAAGTAAATACTCCGCTTTTTTGACACATTTACCAAGACAGCATCTCCACTTTGTACCTGCCACCAAGTCTTGAGTTTATACTGCGGATGAAAGTCTTGAACGCCATTTTTAGTAGAATTAAATTCCTATTTAAAAAAAACACCACAGATGCATTTGGGGAAAGATTTGATTGGAGAAAATGATGGTTTTATTTGGAATGCAGGGAAGAAGATGGAGTATTTAGACTTTTACTGTTTCTAAGAAAGCTCTGAAATATTGTTTCCTGTGCACATTTGCACATTGCAAATTATTTTGTTTGGCATCCTCCCAGCATTGTGTTCGTTTCTGTGTGTTGCTTAGCACATGTCTACAATGTGATGTCAGGCAGATTAAGGCAGTTAAGGAAGTGGTCCTAGTAGGAAGAAGAATTGTGCTGAATCAGCCATTCCATATCCCCAGAGAGTGCTTGGATGCTGCTGACTTGATCTCCTTTGTGAAGTCCAGAAAGTCTGAAGGATCATTTCCTTTGTCCCACTAATTATCATTCCCTTATGTTTGGTATTTACTTGCTGGGCCTGTAACAGAAAGTTTCACAGTCATAATCTCACATAACTAAATATTGAATCAGGCACTGATTCCAGTTTACTGATAACTGGGGTTGACCCCATAATCTCAGGAGAGAACATTAGCGAAATTGAAATCAAACTTGGTAGTTGTATAGTGCTAAGTCATTACATGCTAAGTCAGTGAGTTTGTGGATCAAATATTCTTTCCATAGGTGATAGTATACTTTTTTGAATAACTGAGAAATAACTGAGATTGTATATTTGATTTTATATGAAACTACTGCAGGTAGCAAAAAAGATCATCAAATAAGTCATGTCTGTGTTAGTCACTCAGTCGTGTCCGACTCTTTGCAACCCCGTGGACTGTAGCCTGCCAGGCTCCCCTGTCCATGGAATTTTCCAGGCAAGAACACTGGAGTGGATTGCCATTTCCTACTTCAGGGGATCTTCCCAACCCAGGGATCAAAGCTGGGTCTTCTGAATTGCAGACAGATTCTTTACTATCTGAGCTACCAGGGCAGCCTTATGGGGTATGAATTCAGGCCTCCCCTGAACAGCTTGGTTTAAATCGTTTGGGGGAGGGAATAAGTCCATTTCACAAAGAAACAAAAAAGTGGAAAAGTACCTCTGACTCCTAGGGGACAGAGCCGGGGAAGGGAGGGGAGCCCTTATCTCCTTTGTTGCAAAATGCTCTACAGAGACCTTGCTTTTCCCCTTTGTTCTGATGTGTAAAAGATTGCCAGCTGTCTCAGAGAAGCTGAAGTGGGAATTAATTAAAGAAGCAGATTACTGAAGAGGGTGGTACAGAAGTGAGTCCCTGAGCAGAAGGATTCTATAACAGCTCAGTCATAAGAATTAACACAACCTTCCCCAAGTTCTAGATCAGCCCTGGGAGTACTTCGACAGCTAATAATATTCACAGGGACCACAGGTACTTGCAGTCTTGGGGCTCTTCCTTTGTGCCAGGCATTTTTCTAGGCATGTTACATATATTGTTTCATGTCTTTTCATCTCCCTCCACAAAAAAGTCTCATGATCTTTCATCTCAAACTAGGAGAAGTTTTGAGAGGGAAAGGATGGATAAGTGAAAAGGAAAAAAAAGTATATTGTTATCATGATCTCTATTTAAAATAAAGGTTAGACCAAGGTATGATTGACAATAGTAAACATTAAAAAATGTTCCTGGTTATACTTTAAGCTTTCTTTAAGTATGCCTGAAATAATTGTCTGTTTTTTTAATGCTACTGATAAACTTAAAAATATGTCCCATATATATTTTTTTAATTTATTAATTTTTGATTGAAGGAAATTGCTTTACAATATTGTGTTGGTTTCTGCCATGCAGCAGCATGAATCAGCCATAGGTACACGTTTCCCTTCCCTCGGGAACCTCCCGCCCCATCCCGCCCTTCCAGGCTGTCACAGAGCCCTAGTTTGAGTTCCCTGAGTCAGAGCAAATTCCCTCTGGCTATCTCTTTTATACATGGTAGTGTATATGGAAACTGGCAGCTCTTACTCCCCATCTCACCTAGAGAAGTGTCTTGTTGGCAAATAGAGCATTTTAAAGATTGAATTAGAAATAGTTTAAAGTAGGGAGAGATTTCTAGCTGTGTCTAAAAAAACAGTTGGAAAAACTGGTAATGGTGCGCTTATTTTCCCGTATGACTTTAACCTGCTGGGGTCGAGGAGCAGACGTCACTTCAACTAGGACAGGTGGTCTCCAGTTTGCTGCTGTCCCGACTCTGGGCCATTTCCCCTGCCTGGTTCCTTTAGCCCCTGGGAGATGCAGAAAATAACTAGATGTATAGCAGCACAGACCAAGTCAGAAAAGATGTAAGTTCATAAATCTATAACCCCATTTGGCTGTACTTGTGGGCACTCGCTGAGCATCATCCCCACCTGTTTTATTCCATTAAGTGACAAAGTCACGCCTGTTGTCACAGGATTGGTGGAAGACAATTGGTGAGCAGCTCTTTTGTTGCTCATTTCTTTATATGGATTTCAACTGGCAGCCTTCCCTGCTTGTTAGATTTTCTTTCTCTACTTACAGGTCACAGAGGAGTCAGATTTGTTTCAGGACCTCTTCAAAACGCCTTTCTAGAGTAAGAAAGAGTCCGTGCTTAAGTACATAGGGAAAGTGATTCATTCTGTCACCATATATAAGAATTGATATGTGTCGTGTTTAGTTTTTTGAGACTCTTTTCATAGACTTAAAAAAAAAAAATGGCCTGACTCAACAAATGGAGAAGCTGATGTCAGCTTCTTATTCTGTTTTTGACTGTAATTTTGTAGGAAGTCATTTAATTGTTAAATTCCCCCACCTACAAAATGGAATCCTTTTTGATTGGAGGTTGGAACTTTTAGCCAGAGTCTCAAGGTTTTTGAAAGTGGGGAGTTTTTATCTCAGACATGCTCTGTAGCCCACATTTGTGGAAGGCTATGCAGGAGAAGGCAATGGCACCCCACTCCAGTACACTTGCCTGGAAGATCCCATGAACCGGAGGAGCCTGGTGGGCTGCAGTCCATGGGGTCTCTAAGAGTTGGACATGACCGAGTGACTTCACTTTCACTTTTCACTTTCATGCATTGGAGAAGGAAACGGCAACCCACTCCAGTGTTCTTGCCTGGAGAATCCCAGAGATGGGGGAGCCTGGTGGGCTGCCATCTATGGGGTTACATAGTCGCTTCAGACATGACTGAAGCGACTTAGCAGCAGCAGCATGCTGTAGAAGGGGCTTGGTCCTGGGACTGGCTTTTCAAAATGTGTAGCAACTCAGATACATATCCTCCCTGTAATTCAAAAGCAAGAAGTTATTGATGATTTGAATGAATTCATTTCCAAATTCTATCAATTTATATATACATTTTACTCAAAGCCCTTGACTGACTTTTCTGCGCAAATCTCCAGTAGGAGAGTTGTGGCAGGTCCAACATTTTCCATGGCTTAGCTATCTCATTTATACTAAAACCAGCAGAATTCTTAAATTTTGTTCAAGTATGCCCTTTATTTAGCAAACTTTGCCCTAAGAGTATTTGATCGCTTCATGATACTCAGCATCATCTAGTTCATTTTTCAGTTCTGAATAAGTCTGTGTTACTGATTTTATATTTGAAAGAGCGGCACCTTTCCAGATATTTATTTGAGAAAATTTTGCCTGTGGTAGTCATTGCACAACAAGTTCATGGTTTATGTAGAAATACAGTTCACACCTGCTCTTTCAAGGCATGTGATAAAGCTGATTCCCCCATGGTGTAAATAAAGGTTTTTTTCCTTTGGCATTGTCTAGGAGCACGGTTTGAAAATCACCATCACAGCTCTTGCACAAAATCTTACACAGTTGGTTTTTGTCTTATTGTAGACAGGATTCAGTTCAGCTCCTTGCACTGTGACATTAGGAAATTAATCAACTTCTCTGGCATTTAGTTTTCTCACTTTCAGCATTTGTTCAATAATAATCATATTGATGCCCAAATAGCAAATATTGGAGAAGATGTGGAAAAAATGGAACCCTCCTACACTGTAATGTAGGAATGTAAATTGGTGCAGCTACTATGGAGAACAATATGGAGGTTTCTCAAAAAACTACAATAGATCTATATGAGACAGCAGTTCCACTCCTGGGTGTATATCTGAAAAAAACAAAAACACTTAATTTGAAAGCTACATGCACCTCATTGTTCACAGCAGCATTATTTACAATTATCAAGATACGGATGGACCCTAACTGTCCATCAACAGATGAATGGATCCAAATATAAATAAGCTACAAGGATTTATAGTACAGTGCAAGGAACATAGCCAATATTTTACAATAACTCTAAATGGAATATAACTTTTAAAAATTGTGAATCACTGTGTTGTACATCTATAACATAAAATATTGTACGTCAGCAGCAGCTCAGTTTTTAAAAATGTAGTAATTTTGATGATGCCTTCGCTCTAGGATTGTTCAATATGACATATGCCCGATTATGAACACTTGTTCAGTAAATACCATTTCTCGTTCCTTTTGCCCTTCTCAGGTCTCCTTGTAATTAGGCAGCTTGAGTTTAGAGCAGTCCTCAGGCCCTTTTGGTTGAGGACTTCTTTGGGACTTTGACTTATTCTTTCCATGGGCTTCCAGCTGTCCTCTAGCCCCTGTGCTCTATATCAGGGGGTCTAAACCAGGCTTTCGCAGGGGTCTTTATGCTGAACAGTGAGCCTCCAAAATGCTCCTTGACAAAAATATTTCATAGTCTAATAAGTTTGAGAAAGATCTTGTCCCCCTGTTAGAGCTTTACTGTGAATGAAGAAGAGCAGAAGGAGGGAGGGCCGTATAGCTTGTTTCTCGCATGATTCGTTTCTTCCTCCTAGTAATCGATGTTTCTGAATACTGCTCTGTGTTGATCTG